TGTGCAAGCTAACACACAGACATACATATGATAAACTTTAAAATATCTGTTTTAAAAACAGTGTTATAAGCCGGGCATGGTGGTGGATATGTTCTTTAATTCTAGAACTCAGGAGGTTGACACAGAGGGATTTTAGGAGTTCAAGGACAAACTGGTTTACAGAGAGAGTTCCGGGGTTCCAGGATCTATATAGGCATACTCTGTCACAACAATAAAAAAAAAAAAAAAAAAAAAAAAAAAAAAACCGAAAGAAAGAAAAAGAAAAAAAGGGGGAAATAAGAAAAAGAGAAAAAGAAAATAAAAAGGTAGAATGATGTTTGCATGGAGGTAAAAAGATGAGAATGATAGCAGACTTCTCAGAAGTAAAACTATCAAGACAACATATTTAAAGCACTGAAAAATATCAGCCAACATAGATATTATACTCAGAGAAAGTAACTAAAAATTGATAATGCTAAAAAAGACCTTTTCAGCATACAGAGATAGAGAGAACCCACTTATACCACACCTAAAACACAAGAAATAGTAAAGATACATTTCAGGCACAAAGATGAATCAGATGACTAAATGTGTCTACACAAAGAAAAGAAATTGTTAATATGTTTATAAGTTTTAGAGCATTCATTTTAATACTCTCTTTAAAATCATTGCTTAGTGAAAAGACAATCCACTGTGGGTCACCTAAAATATGACTCAAATAAAATAAAGACTCAAGAAAGGAACAATAGAAATCTTTGTAGTCCACACATGACCTGGTAAATTATGTGACCGAGGAAGATAGGGATTTGTCGATTTGTGAGAAGTTGTAAGAAAAGTTTTTCTTTTTTCTTTTTCTTTTTTTTTTATTTTTATATAACCAAGTCCATTTAAATGAAAACAAATATTTATATACAATATTTGGGAATTTGGGCGTCGTTCTTTCCAAACTACTTCCTGCTGGTAAGGGGTGCTGTCATGGGGGATTCTAAGAAGATAGAGAAATCTTGGTTGTAGTCTGCAAGGCTGCCTTGTTCAAGCTGTTTAGAATGTTGGATCACCTGGTACTCTATTTCAGGCAGTCTGGCTTGATCAAACCACATTAGTCTGAAAGGAATCCACAGCTTTTCATTTTCTGTGGAAATAAAAATAGAAATCCTTTTCCCCAGTAACTTGTCCTTGAACTTAAATATTGGAGTCAAAGCATTTTTTAAATTTAATTTATTATTTTACATGTCCATCCCAGTTCTCTCTCCCTCCTTTCTTCCTTCCCTCCCTCCCATCCTTTTACCCTCTCTGCCCTCTCACAAGCACCCTAACCACCCTCCCCTCCCATCCCCCACCCCAATTCCATATGTAGGGGAATGCTATCCAGTTGGGGTCATGTAGATCTGACAGGTCATGTGAAGTAGGGACTAGGGTTCTCTCCTGTCTCTAGATTAAGGCAATTATCCCTCCATGGGGGATATGTTCACAAGGTCCTTTTGTACACCAGGGATACATCCTGGCTCCACTGTCTGAGGTCCCTTAGACTGCTCAGTCCTTCTGGCTGAGACCCATATTCAGGGGGGTCCTGAGTCAGTCCCATGCTGGCTTCCCAGCTATCAGTCTGGGGGGCCGTTAGCTCCTCCTGGTTCAAGTAAGTTGTCTCTATGTGTTTCTGCAGCCTGGTCTTGTTCTCTCCATCTGCATCTGGGTTCTACTTCGACTCAGTGTTTATGTATGGGTGTTTGCTCCTGTTTCTAACAGGCATTAGATGAGGGCTCCATGGATAAGTTAGTTGTTAATCTCACTATCCGGGAAGGGCATTTATGGTAGCCTTTCCATGGATTGTTAGTTGGCAGCAGTCTTGTAGTTCTCTAGACCTTTCTTTGTGTTCAGTTTTATCTTCAAACCAATATTGGCTCCCTCTTTTATGTTCTCTCTCTCTCTCTCTCTCTCTCTCTCTCTCTCTCTCTCTCTCTCTCTCTCTCTCCTGTCTTCTGTTCCTAACCGGGCTCAATCTTCCTAGCTGCACGTATTTTCCTTTCCTCACCCTTGTTTTCTCCTACTTCTCTCTCCAATCGCTGCCCCCCCCCACTTCCCCTGTGCTCTGGGGGACATGTCCCTTCCCGGTTCTGTGAGGGACTTTATATGAATCTCTTAGAATACACCTTGTATCCTAGTTCCTCTGGTGGTGTGATCTGGGTCTAAAATCCATATATGAGTGAGGACATACTGTGTTCCTCTTTTTGTGACTGGGTTACCTCATTCAGGATGGTTTCTTCAAGTGCCATCCACTTGCCTGCGAATTTCAAGATACCATTATTTTTTTTTCTGCAGAGTAGTATTCCATTGTGTAGATGAGCCACATCTTCATTATCCATTCTCCAATTGAGGGGCATCTAGGTTGCTTCCAGGTTCTTGCAATTACAAATAGTGCTGCCATGAACATAGTTGAACAGATGTCTTTGTTGCATGGACGTGGATCCTTTGGGTATATGCCTAAGAGGGGGATTGCCGGGTCCTAAAAGTTTTTCAATGAGTAAAAACTCACAATTGATCCAAATCAGCCAGTACATGAGCATCTAAAGCAGGTACAAGTTCCAACATTTGCTTCCAATGCAGTTGAGTACATTTGGCTGTATAGACATGTACTGCTGGGATCTCCCTTCAGGGAAGGGCAGCTTCCTGTGGGTGCCAAACTTCAAGAGCTCTTTACTGAAAAATGTAACCAAAATCAGAGAACTCTAGGGAGAAGAAACCATTGCCAGGTGATGTGTTAACATTTTAGCTTAAGTAATTCCACAGTTTTATTTTGAACGGCTTTAACTTAGCATGCTATTGTGGTTCACTATTTCTTTCATATAGGCTTGGCATTTCTATCTTCTCTCTCCCAAAGGAGTCATATTATGAAAACATAAAAAGGCAATAAAGTAAGCAAGATAGGTTCTTCATTCTTTAACCATTCAGGAAAACCCATTTCAGGTTGGCTTAGTCATGGAGAGGAAGTATATTAGGAACTGTTGAGTACTGAACCAAAGAAAGCTTCTAAAGTGGTCTGATTATAAGAACTGTCCCTGGATGTCCTAAGGAAACCACCTACCATTAGTTAGGCCTAGGTATTTAAACTGCCATTCAAATCCCAGACTGGAATATAGGGAATGTAGTTTCAGCAATCTTGTAGACTAGCAAAGAGACACCTCCATTATGTTTTCCCTTGCAGCTCCAGAGGGTGGCAGGACAGTGTGTTCCTAGTTCTCCTTCTTCTTAAAAATACCCAGCAGCCAAGGAAGATGTGTGTGTGTGTGTGTGTGTGTGTGTGTGTGTGTGTGTGTGTGTGTGTGTGTGTGTGTCTGTGCTTGTGTCTGTGTGCATGTATTTGTGCCTCTGTGTGCATGTATATGTGCCTCTGTGTGTGTGTGTCTGTGCTTCTGGCAGATTTCATTACCATCAACTTTGATCCCTAGGAAGTACTTCCTCGTGTCTTTGTTTTGTTTTTTCTAGGAGTTCTGTGTGTAGCTGGGAGGCAGCCTGAGACAGAAGGAGCTGTTGACTTTACTATGGAAGAAGAAACCACCTTCACACTTTAGGCCAGAAACTTACAGACAGGATACACCCCACCCCACACCCATTTTTCTTTTCTGCAGTGCTGAGAGTTGTAGCCAGGGTTCAAAGTACTCTCCCACAAAACTACTCTGCCAGGCCTGGTTGTTCCCACTTCTACTGTGTGTTGTGTTGGGAACTGAACATAGGTACTTTACAGTGAAACCATAGCTAGACAGGTTTTTCATTTGTTTGTTTTTATTTTTAAGGCAGGATTATCTGTATAATTGTGATTTATGAAGCAGAATAAACATCACCCCTGCCCCAGTGTAAGCAAGAGATTGTTTCTATTATATATACTCTATATCATAATCCACAGATGTGCAATCCCTTATATAAAATAGGATGATATTTGCATATAAAACAGACACCCTTCCATAGACTTTAAATCATCCATAGCTTGCTTATTAATAGTCAATGCCACTCAAATAAGCATTATATTCTTTAAGGAATACGGGGGGGGGGTGTTTGTTAACATACAGCACAGATACAAATCCCCATTATTTGCTGTGCCATGGTGGCACATGTCTTTAATCCCAGGACTCAGGAGTGAGAGGCAGATGGATCTCTGAGTTTGAGGTCAGTCTGGTCTACAAAGTGACTTCCAGAACAGTCAGAGCTGTTGCAGAGAGAAACCTTGTCTCGAAAAATAAAAGCAAAACAACCCCACAACTCCTTCCTTCAACCTAACCCCCATTATTTTCTATAGAAAGAATTACCTTTGGAGTCACTATAATATTTTCAGTCTCATATATTTCAGTTGTTACTTCGACCTTACTTGTGGTCTGTCTCTTAAAGGAACGGCAACTATTTGCGAGAAAAGACCATCAAGATGGAAATGGTAGCTTCCAGAGGAAACACTTCTACTCCAGGCTTTTAAAAAGGAGGTCTTAGTTTCCACAAGGGTCAAAAGGGGTGAGCAGATTAGACAGGAGGGCCTAAAAGGGACCTGGGACAGTGTCTGGTACAGAGCACTGCACAAATGCTGTGTCTGAGTCTCATCCATGAAGAGGTGCCCCAAACCACTTACAGTCCCCAGGGCCTGTTAAATCCTTTTCCTTTCCATTACTCCTTATAGCGCTGGTGATCACAGAAAAGGTTTTCTCACGCCCGTCCTTCCTTCCTTCCTTCGTTCCTTCGTTCCTTCCTCCTTCCTTCGTTCCTTCCTTCCTTCCTTCCTTCCTTCCTTCCTTCCTTCCTTCCTTCCTCCCTCCCTCCCTCCCTCCCTCTCTCCCTCCCTCCTTCCTTCCTTCCTCTCCAAGATAAGGAAATGGCTTTCTTTGTTCCTTGGATTCGGAAGCTTGCACATGTCACACAGGGCGTCCCAGTCCTCTGGCTTGCTGGCGTCTGGGGGAGGAGGGCTGCTGGCTTCTGCTGGCGCAGCACAGCGGGAGGCCACTGGAGGAGATAGGGAGGCGGGCGCAATCAACCCAAGGGTGGAGAAGGGGGAAGGCGACAGAAGCGCGTTCCCGGGCTCGTGACCGCCGGCGGCCGGGGAATCTGTGCCCACACACTTGCAGAGATGGCAGGCGGTGACGGCTGGCGCATCGTGGGCACCCTCCACCTGCTGCTGCTGGCGACCGTCCTGTCCCTGATAGCCGGGAGTGGAAGCCCTGACACCACTGCCTGGACTCAGGAGAAGGTGAGGGGCCACTGCAGCATGCTGTACTTAAGTAGCTCTTGGAGGGTGACAAGACCCGGCTACCTCCTCCCGGTCTAGAGAGAGGCGGGTCAGGAAATCTGTCCCCCTACCCAGGCATCCCTTCCCCACCCAGTACCTGGGAACCAGCGCTCTCTTTCCCAAGCCTGGGCTCCAGGGGTGGTCTCGGGGCTGCACTGGAGACGCCTCCAGGCTGGGTGATGTCAGCCGCCCCTCTTTGGCAGTGCTCTGAAGGGGGTGCTGATAGACACAGGAAGTGTGTCTTGCTGGCTGTGTAAGAACAGGGGCATGGGGGCGCCATCGCCCACTGGAGGCCAGCGATCCCCGCGCTCCGGGGACTCCTGGGTACCTAGACGAGCTGGAATCCCTAACTACTGTTTTCAAGGATTGCACCGTGGGGATCGAGTTCCCTTGTGGATTCAGCGCCAACGTATTGTTAGATATTTAAATTTAAAAGGGGGCGAAGGGTGTTTTCAGATAAATGAAATGAGTTGTGGAAATCTCACTTAAGGAGTTTAGAATAAAAATGAGTTGCCAAGTAGCTCTGTGCGAAGAAAATAGAGTCACAATTATTTCCTTTTCTTGCTCAGCGGTTTTGAAATCACGAAATGCTAAGGGCAGTGCTAATGCTGATGGCTTGGGAGTAAAATGGGATGCCTTTAACGAAACTAAGAACAGCAGCAGTCTAGGGCTATTTTGACACTACTAAATGACTGTCTTAAAAGCTTTCAGTGTTTCTGAACGTCTGAAAAGTTCATTCCCAGTCAGTCTCATGAGCATGAGTATGAATGGCCCACTTCAGGGAAGCTTTGCCTTAGCCAGCTTCCCTTCAGGGCTCCCAATTGACTCCATTTACAGCGGGGTGGGGGTAGCATGCATGGGTGAGGAAAGTCAACTCCAGTCACTCCAGGATAGGTAAAACAATTTCCCTCCCACAGAGGTTCCAAAGTGCTGTGCAAGCAGTTGAGCAACACCCTTCTCTTCACTGTTTTGGGTACCTGGGAGGCCAAGCATTGGGAAGGGAATATTAAATCCAGAATATGGCATCAGGTTACATGTGTCTTTAGGGTAGTTCTAAATGGGTGAGACCATAGGGCCTGCCTGCGGGCACGTGTAGTAGGCAGACGTGTTTCTAGGTGGGAGAAAGAAGATTTTGTGATTCTTAAAATGGTTTAAACTAATGAGAAATGTCTTTTGAAATGTGAATTTCTATTTTCTTTATTTTAAGAAGCCTCTAGGGACAGTTTCACTGGGAAAGCAAACACTCTCAAATGGCACAAATGACAGTCATCCATGACAATTCTCAGTTAATAGCTCCTGCTTCCTTTCATTAAGTCTGCTGGGCTGCCAGCTTCACTTGGTAGCCTGGGAGATGATCAGTGTGCACTAAAGTACACGCCTTCCTGTCTTTTATGATGCTCGACTGTTTTAATCAGATGAGGTGAGCTCTTGGTGCACCGGTCTGCCAGCAGGAGAAGTGTGGTAATGAAAGCATCAGTTTTGAAATCCATTGCCTTTGTTTGGAAATAAAGGTGTGTCTCTTAGTTGCATCTAAGGGGCAAAAGCAGATCAACCCTCATTTATGGCTGTGTTTAGAACTGTGATTCAACGATTCGAAACCTAGAAACATTATAAATGATTACACTCCCAGATGGGCCCTCATATGTCTGTATATTAAAGACATTGACATATGGGTACCAGTTGTCAGGTGTATAAAACTATCTCACTTGAATTTCATGGTACCCCATGGAAGAGTAAGTTTATCTCATTTAGATACCAGGAAACAGTATTATTAAACTAGTGAATTGAGGCGCTAGAATTTGGCTTAAATTCTGTTCTTTCCTGATCTCTCTCTCTCTCTCTCTCTCTCTCTCTCTCTCTCTCTCTCTCTCTCTCTCTCTCAGGTAGACAAGTATTGACCAAGGAACAGTGTCTAGATAGCTCAGGTGTGTGTGTGTGTGTGTGTGTGTGTGTGTGTGTGTGTGTGTGTGTGTGTGTATGTGTGGTTTGGAGGACAGAGGAAGAACTTTCTTAATCCCAGCTTTAACCCTAACCCTACCTCTCTGGGCCAAGCAGACCCTAAGTGGCATTCCCAATAAGAAAGCATGTTTGGGGCATCTTTTCTTCCCCCACCCCTAGATTCTGGTTCCTTGACTTCCCTTCTCCAGTTTTAAAGTCATCATGATGCTGAGGGTTGATGCATATCTAGAAGGACTGTTCCTGAATTCCAGCCCTTCCCTACCCCTAGCCTGGGTTCATAATCACAAATTTAGTTGTTTAAAAAAAATAGTCTCATTGAATCAATTCTTCTTTAGAGGAAAGCTGCTGGCTGTTGAAAAGCTTCCTGTGTTTTAGAAGGAGTGTTAGGTTCAACAAGCTAAATGGGGCAGCTTCACCTAAAGTGTCCTAGCTGTGCATGAAGTATGACTCAGTCTAGAAAACTTCAAAAATACAAAAAATGCATTCACAGGGGTGAGTAACAATGGTTACATTTCAGGTTATTATAAGGATTGAATGAACTTGTGTAACAGCACAGAGGTTATCTTACCTTAAGTGCTCAATACATTTCAATCATTTAAAAAAAAACATACATAATCATTTTCCAGCTGAGTCCTCATTGTATGTATGATTTAGTATGAAATTGATAGCATGATGTGAATCTGAATGTAAGCTGATAAAATTCCCTGAAAGCATAACTGGGTGATTGCAAAACCATCACCTGTGGATAATTTATTTCTTTGCCTTGGATGTTGAGGTTGCTTTTAAATCTCTATCAACAAAGCTGAGATGCAATATAGTTTAACGGGAAGAAGCATTCTTTATTGTATTGTGACAGAGTTGAAGCAGGAAATCTCAGGTCACATTACAGGTGGAGAATAAAGACTTTGAGGTACCCAGAGCAGGCTCTTGAAAACTGTAAACTGCAATTGCTTCTGGACCACTGCTCTTTGCAGCTGTTCACAGGCATTTACTTCTGGAACACATCTTGTGCTAGAAGTCCTGGGATTTCCCTTTCTCCAGGGCTCTCCATGCATCCCCATCCACTTCTCTATCTGTGTGACTTTTCTGGAAGCAGAAGACTTCAAGGCAGGGACAGAGAGGTCAGTGAGGGCCTGGGTGTTAGTAGATGAGAAAGACCTACTGTCATCTTGGAGTCTTTATTGTCTGGTGGGTAAGAACCAGGATGTCCATTTTACAGGAAACTTTTCTTAGACATAACTGCTAAACAAGGAGCTAAGGAGCTGGAATTGGTCCCTCAGTTGCTCTGTTTGTTTTTCTGTTCGGATTTTAAGAAGCAAACCTGCTCCCATGGGACAAAGAAAGTAGTATCTCAGTTTCCAACTCCCTCCCCCTGCATTTGAACTGTCTGTGGCTCCCACACATTTCCTGAATGCTGGTCAAGTGGAACTTACAGGTAGCAAAAGTTTAATCTGATGGCCATCTGGAATGCTCATAAAAGATAGAAGCTTGAATTTGCCATATTTCTGCAATGCTCTCCCTTACATTTAGTGTTTTGGAACTGCAAGCAAGGTCACTTCTCCAAATTATGTAATGAAACCCTCTGGCTTGGGACCATGTGATTAGAGGGAGATGTTTCAGGCTATCTGGTTCACAGGTTTGTTTTAGTGGAAAGATTCTTGTCACCTAGAGCAGACTGCATTGTCCTTTCTGCCTGGATGAAAAGACAAGGCCAGGGCTGTAACAGAGCCTTGTTTCCTCTGAGAGTGTTTGCATCAATAGAAACTGCTGAAAAAACTACCTTTCAATTGAAATAAACTTAGAGTAATTTTGGGTCTTACATTTGCCATTGGGCTTAATGCCATTTACTTTTGTTAGTTTGGGGGCAGACAATCACTGTGCAGCTCTGTCACAGGAATTCACTGTGTTGACCTGGCTGGCTTCAAACTTGCAGTGATTCTCCTGTCTCTGGCATTGGAGTGCTGGGGTCACAGGTGTGTAGTCCACACTCACGTTTCATCATTGTGTTGGGTTCTGCCCCTGTCCTCTGAGTCTATCCTTTCTTCCCACTTTCACCTTCTTCCTCATTCTTGTTTCAAAACAAGTTTGTATAGCTAATGAGTTCTCAGAGCAAGGTTACTTTAGTCCAAATGCTGCGAACCTTTAATTTAGTTCCTAATGTGGTGCTGACCCCCAGCCATAAAATAATTTTTGTTGCTACTTCATAGCTGTAATTTTTGCTACTATTATGAATCATAATGTAAATATCTGTGTTTTCCAATGGTCTTGGGTGGCCCCTGTGAAAGGGTCATTCGACTCCCAAAGGTTGAGAACCACTGCTTTAGTTGAAGGTGTGCTGTTTAGCATGTACAAGCTATATGCTTTTCCTGTGGGGGGGGGGTGGGCTTTTTGGGAATGAAGGGGCTTGCTTAATTGACCGTAATTTTTTTGCTTTCAGTGCTCTTAAAGAGCTAAGAAGTTTGTCATTTCTGTGATGTTGCAGATGCATCTGCTCCCAGAAAAGTAGGGGGAAGGATCTCTTTATTGAAGCGCACTTCTGAAATCAGCCATTTTTGTGGTTTAGCTCAGGAGATTGAAGAGTAGGTACTTGAAAGTCTCATCATTCAGGAACATCCGTGGGTCTGTCTACCCAACTCACTGTCAGCTACTAGGAGTTACTTGCCCATCTAGCTTCTTACACAGTATCTTTAGCAGTTCACGGGTGTGATGCTTAAACACAGATCATCAATTTGACAGGATGTAGGACCACTTAGGAGACAAAGCTCTGGGTCTGTCTGTGCAGGAGTTCCTAGATTGGGTTAACTGCCATGGGAAGACTCATCCTAAATGTGGTTTCTATCAAGTGGTTTCTGTCAATCCACGTGCTAGAGTCCTAGACTTATGAAAAGATAAAAACAAGCAAAGTAGCAACACTCACCTTCCTCTGCTTTTTTTTTTTTTTTTTTTTTTTTTAATTTTTTTTTTTTGAGACAGGATTTCTCTGTGGTTTTGGAGGCTGTCCT